GTTACAAAGCTACAAAACTTTATAAGATGTCTTGAATATACATTCCAGATCACCCAAATAACAGTCAAATCCCAAGAAACTTGAAGAGGACATCATTTACTAATGGATGAGCTTTAAGTCAACTCAGCGGCAAGATGTATAAGACTAATCAGCCCTACAGAATCATAAAGGAAAACAATCATTTCATGCATACGGAAAACTTCACATCAGACCTTTGTCCTCCAACACTTCAAGCTCAGTCAAGTTAAGCTACCCTCAGAACACAGTAACCCATGCTGCTGGAAGACAGACAAGCATGCCATAAGAAGAAAGCACAGTTTAGCCATCATCCATTGAATCAAAGTCCAGCAAAGAACAGTAGTAGACTACAGCTACTTTAGGAAAGGGAAATTTGAGGCACAACCCACACACACACACACACACACCCCAAACAGCAGCAAGATCAGGGATTATTACTGGTTTCAGAAGGGGGTGGATGGAAATCACGTTCCTTGTACTGGCTCAAAACCAGCAGCAGTTTGACAAGTATGCCTGCTCAGTGTAAGCAGCAGTTACAACGTGTTTTATACCTACACTAGAAAAGCTTTAAAGCCACTTCAGTTTTGCCAGCCATTTTTACAAGTGGAAATTTGGAATGAGAAAGCCTTTCAAAAAGGCATTTGATAAGTGACAACAAATAAAAGCTTTGGGTGTAAACAGAAATACAGGAGAAACTATTTTCACATATAGAAGCTGAAACTAATCAGAATCACAGAAAAATTTAGCTTGGAAGCAGTGTCACAAGATCCTCTGATCCAACCTTGTGCTCTAAGTGAGGCTAACTAAATTTGACACTATACCTTTCAATGTCACTTGTCAGTCACAAACCAGATGTGATTTACTGTCTTAACCACACACACTCACATCAGACCTATGCTTCCAGTGTTCTAGGGAAAAAAACAAATAGCAAAGCAGCATTATGGCTTTTTTCTTAAATGCTAGCATTCCACCAAGTTTCTTTACACATCTGAGAAACAACAGGAAAACAGGCGATGAATTTATGAACACTTTGCAAATTGGGAAAAAGGAAAAGCTTAACAACCACGCAACCCAAGTAACACAGATATTTCTTTACTGCTGAGAACGCATACTGTAGTACCATCACTTCCACTGAACTTAAACTTCCCCTGGACAAGGAACATCAAATGTCTCCATTTATTAAACGACTTTATCAGTTAGTAAAAGAGAACCTAAAGCAAAGAGAAACGAGTCACAATTTTTCATGCAAGATTCTTGCTGCTTCTTCCTCACACCAGCAGACCTTCAGTCTTTTGCAACTCAGAGTACTTTTTTTTGCCCTCCTCTTGCCTTGGTGCATACAGTTACAATACACCAGGTGCACCCTGTAAAGTTTAACAAAATCTCAGCATATGCAGACAAGTTTCAAGAACTGCTAAATGTAAGCAGTTAAAAAATATAACAGATGTTCTGCAGATTAAAAGAAATCCAGGAATGGGCGCAACAGTTCATTTAACCTTACTATTTTGCTAACCTTAGAATAAAGTAGGATTCAAGAGACTCCAGGAAAGAATCACTATACGTGAAAATATTGTTAGGATTATCACAATCTAAGCTTACCTGAAGAAGTTTGTTTTTATCATACAGTTCATTCATATCTTGCTGCTGGAAGTCTTTCCTCATTTTCTACAGTCAAACCCCAACTAAGATGCCAGTTCCAACAGCTATCCACTGGCAGTAAAGGCATCACCTTTCAGCTACCCAAGGCTTTGAGGTTACAACACAACTCTGCTCTTCTCCCATTGCCTCCTGCAAGAGCTGCCACAATCACACACAAAATGGCTTAGAAGAGCAGTAGGAAGACAACTGTCCCTCACATCCATAGGATTAGAAACAAAATTTTAGTCAAATGATGACACCGTTATGAAGTCTAAGTCCTGCCTGTTGGCAAAATTCCTCCCTACCTCTTCTCCAGTACTTAAAGTTGAAGAAGGCACAAAAAAGAACAAAACAGGGCAAGATTGAAAGTCTCTCCAGAGGAACAAACCAGAACCAGGACTTTTTAACTCTACATTTTAAGTTTTACAAATGCTACTTTCCATAGTTATTTCCTTACTGTATATTTCCTCCAGGTGCAGAGCAAGATTTACAGTAATTCTAAGCCAGCAGGTGGCATTAACATCTCATATACCCTAAGCAAACAGTGTTAGCCAAATGATGCATACAGGCAAGCTTAAAAGCCCTATACCTAACGAGTAGTTGGAATGGAAAATTGGCTACAGCCTTCCCCATCCACTTGGACACAATGACACGACTGCCTTCACCTGCCTGATGGTTGGCTGCACTTCCTGCTTCTTCCATCCGCTCCATCAGGTCACGCCACAGAGCCCACATCAGAACCTCATCCAGGAACACAATAAGGCACTTAGATTTTATTACCACTACTGCCATTATCCTTTAACAGAAGGATCACATTTTTTAATTTGTGCAATAAGCCTATAATGTAAAAAAAGGCTGAGAAGTCCTACTCAAAGATTTACTGCATAAGATGCTGATTCACAACTCAGTAGACGTAGCTCCCTATTTTCAGAACCTCCAGTGCAGCTGCTCACAGGCAGTGTACCCCACTGCCATCAGTAAGAGCAGAAATACTTCCTTACCTCAAAGAAATGGGGGAATAATGTCCACTAACACTGAGGTCCTGGTACTCTCATTTTACAGACGCCTAAACGGACATCCTACTTACAGCAAGAGGAGGAACAGAAGGAAATTAGATCTCTAATATCATTAACTTCATACTGAAGTCCACAAACATAAATGCAAAGTCAAAACATCATCTTAATAATGAAAATAGAATTAATGGGGATATTTTTTCTTTTCCTCGACCTTGAAGTTAAACTAAGTTAGAGCATGCCTTGACAAGACAGGAGTCCAGCAGACAGGTTTCTGTGTTTGCTTTTTAAGTGTTCATTAAAACTCACTCTTCTCATTACTGCATAGAAGAATCTTCATTGCCCTTCAGAGGAAAGCAGAAATTAAGATCCAAGAAGGAACAGGAATTACTTTCTTCTGAATACAGGAGAAAAACAGTACCAGCACATGCAGAGAACACATTCACTCATCCCTTAATTTCAAAAAGTGATTTCAATAAAAAAATTCAAACTGGTTTTTTTAAAACAGAGAACTCTTCTAGAGGGGCCTTAAGATACCAACCTACAGCAAACAAAATTCACATCAGGAAGGCTTATAAAACTATTCTTGTTCACTTGGATGAGCAAGAGGAGACTGTTTTCCACGTCCACTCTCTTCTGTATCAGAAATCCCATTGCTTCCATGTAAAGTTATGCTGAATCTGAGGTGGTTTTGATTTAAAGATCTAATTTTACCTTCTGGATCCTAGTGTAACAAGTGCCCCTGCAGGAAGCCCAAGATTATACAGCTGGAGAAGAAGGAATAAATGAACTGCACACAAGAATAGCTGGGAGAAATGACACAGGCCTTCAGAGTGGTCTTCTTCCAGAGGTCTTTGGTTCTTATGTTGAAGGTTTCCCCCAGGGCCTGTGCTTAATACAGGGAAAACTGAGATGCAGCTTCCACCCAAGCCACAAGGCAGAAGAGCCAGGGTTTGCCTGCCGCAGATGCCTGCTGCTGCAAGGGGCTGCAGCAGCTCTGCTGCTTGACAGAAGGATCCACAGGGCACGAGAAAACCTCAGGCAAATGAGGGGATGTTTGCAGGCAGTATGTGCATAAAAAGATATCTCTTGCAAGAAAGGGAGAAGCTGACGTTTCATTTTTCTTCTCCACACAGAGCCTTACAAGCACAGAAGCATGTGCTTTGTCACCTTCCTAACTAGATTAATAACGGGATTTTGCTGGTACAGAAGTCAAACCTACAGAAGAAGTTTTAGGGCTAGGTAATATCTGTTAACTGCTCCTGACATTCTTTAAGGCACTGTCATACTCAAGATGAACAAATTTTGCAGATCAGATTTTAGTACTTGGTTTTCAAAAATCGGTAGCTGCAGTTCAACAATTCAAAAACGTAAAGCTTACTCCATCTGCATCATCCAGGAGTTAGGCTCCAGAAAACACGTTCTGTTTCACAAGCCAACCAAGCTGCTAGGCCTAGGATGAAGATGCTGGCCACCTTCTTTCACAAGACATTGATAATCTGATATAAAAGGAAGTTATTAAGCAGATGGTAGCAAGGTAAACCACAGTGATAAAAGACAAAAGCATGTGTGGCCTACATCTTGAAAAAAGACACGTTTTACGCATTGTGATTCTTTTAAATAATAACCCTGGCTACGTTTCATTTTCCTCCCACATATTTGCATAGCATTTATAGGTTTAGTAAAGAAACAGGGCATATTTTCACCTGTAAATGGCACTTAAACTCTTTATACATACATGCTCTCAGTGATGGCTTGAGCCTCCCAAGAGAACACTGCTACAGGAAGGAACGAAAAAAGCCAAACCCAGTGCGATTAAGGCTTTACTTCGGTTTGTGACAACAGCCCCTAAAATAAAATGATTACTGTACTTCAGAACCATTAAACTTCACCTCGCTGCACGCAAGGTGCAATTAGCACTAACAGTCGTACTTCAGGACTGCGACGGCGTAGCCTGAAAACCATTACGGCACCTATAGAAATGCGAAGTTACCCAAGCAATGCGAGACACCAAGCCGGCACACGTGCCCACACCTGCGGTTCGCAGCTCCATCCCATGCGCAGCGCTGCCGGGGGCACCGGGAATCCCACCCGAGCCGAAAGCAGCGCCCATGTGCTCGGCCCTCCCTCCCGTTTCTGGAGAGCTTCCGCCGGGCACAGCGGCACAGCACCGGGCACCGCCAGCGCCACCGCCGCCCCCGGGGATGCCGACCGCCCTGGGCGGGCCAGGATCCCAGGACGGGAAGGAAGGAAGGAAGGAGCGGAGGCCGCTGTCCTCGGCCGTTCCGAGGACGGGCGGGGGCTCGGGACGGCTCCCCCGTGAGAGCTCACCTTTTCGAGAGGTCCATGAGGACCCCGGAGAACAGCTTCTCCCCCAGCCGGAACGAGACCACCAGGGCGTCCTCGATGATGTGATCCAGGGTGACCCGCACCTCGGAGCCGGGCAGCAGCGGCGCCTCCGCCTCCCCCCCGCTCGGGGCGGCGGGCGGCGGGCGCTCGGGCTCCGCGGCGGCAGCATCCGGCTCCTCCTCCTCCGGCCGGGACGGCTCCTCCCCGGGCTCCCGCTTCGCGGAGCCCCCGGCAGCCGTAGGGCAGGGCTGCGGCCACTCCTCGGGAAGCTGGGGACGCGCGGCGGGCGGCGGGCAGGGCTGCGGCCGCTCCTCGGGCTCCGGGCCGGTCGCTCCTCGGAGCTCGGCCTGCGGCGAACCCGCCTCCAGGCCGGAGGGCGGCGGCGTCTCCGTCCTTTCGCCTTCCGGCTCCCGCGTCCCGGCCGGGCTCCGGGCGAGCTGCACGGGCGGCGGCTCCTCGGCCTCGCCGGGAGCTCCCTTTCCCCCGTCGGCCTCCTCTCCGTCGGGCGCCGCCGACTCCACGGCCTCGGTGACTGCAGGAGGAGGGTCCGCGCCGGCCTCACTGCCCGGGATGGGCTCCATCTCGGGCTCGGCTTCGCCCGCCCCCCCATCGCCCGGCACCGCTGCAGTCGCTGCCGCCTCCGCAGCCATGGCCGCCATTTTCTCTGCTGCTTCTCCGCCGCCTCCCTCCAGCAGCGGGATCGATAACCACGGCCTTCCCCGCCCGCCTGGGAGGGAGAGCCCGCCCCCTAGGCTCACGTCTGGCAGTCTATTGGTGGACGCCGCGGAGCTTTCTACTTCTAATGGAGAGCGAAGCTGTCAGTCGAGCCCAGTGGAAACTTCCCGTTGGTCAGTGAGGACTTCATTCAATGGAGAGTCGGGAAGAGGAAGAAGGGGCGTGGCTTAGCGCTTCACAGGTCCTTACGGACGAGAGGGGCCGGGCCTCTGCGGCAGCGCCGTCGTTTCATTGGCGGAGGGAGGAGCCGCTCCCAGAGGAGGGCGGTCATTGGCGGGAGCTGACGTCCGTCAGCGGAGCGCGCGGTGGTCGGCATGCGCGCTGCGGGCGGCCGGGAGGGGGCGCAGGGGAAGATGGCGGGGCACGAGGTCGGCCTCGGGGTGTTCCTCAGGCCCCTCTGAGGGACCATCCCCGGGGGAGGGGTTGAGGGGCGAAATCGGCTGTAATGGGAAAAACGTGAGGGTGATAGGGCGCTCGTTGCGTTATGTGAAGTAAATCAAAGATGAATTTTTTTTTTAATTGGGTTTATTGGGTAAAAGTGAAAAGCAGGTGGGGGGAAAAGAGAGGGGAAAAAAAGGAAAAAGTTAACGTTTTCCCGTGGGACGTTCTGAGTCAGTGGTTTTCTCCCCGTGGGATCAGTGCTTGGTGTGTGGGGATTTGCTTCTCCCAGGTAGGAAATCATGCACTTCTTAAGCGAATTTTTTTAAAAAAAGAAAAAGAAAAGAAAAATAAATATTTTAAAGAAGAGACACGGTTTAGGTTGTTACATGTGTCTTTGGAAGCTGCTTCCCTTTGAGGAGCAGAAAGGAGAGCGCCGTTAGGAGGAGGGATGGGAGGTGGGAGCAACTGAGGAGGTGGGTGCCATCAGAGCATGGGTGCTTCTCCTTCCGCATGCTGGTGTCAGGGGTATGTTGCTCAGTGACACACAAAAGTTGCTGTAAATAACAAGCCCAAACTCTACGGTTTTCTTTAAAAGCAAAACGTCCCCTTTGGATCAAGTTAGTGACTTCTTACGGGCAGGTTTTGAAGGGGTAGGAATTGAGCTATGCCCCATGTGTTTGCTTTAAAGCATATAAATAGTGGGTGCAAAGCCAATGAAACTTTTGTAAGAAGTAAGAGGAAAAATCATTAATCAAGTGTAAGGCCCAGTAGTGTGCTCACCTTTTTTTTTTGTTGTGGAAAATAGGGCTATATGCAGATTACAGCAATGCGAGCCATTTTCGTAAGTAATAGACTTGGAGTATTCTTTAACAGCAAAGCAGAGATGTATAACAGTTAGTTCATTGCTACTCATGTATGGTCCGGTGATCTGCTGGCTGTAGGATTTTAGTAGAGAATAAGTATTAAAGTGCTCTGTTGGCCTGAATGCAGTGGTTTGACACGTAACATGCATGGACTCTGCCCCATTTATATCTGGTAGTGCTTTGCTTCACATAGTGGTGTAAAGTGTATAAAAAACATATAGGAACATCAGGAAAAAACTAGATGTATTTCTGGAGGCATGTGTCACAAATATAGTTACTATTGCTTAATATAGTTAAATGCTATGAAAATATAGGTAGAATCACTTAATTTTTTATGTTTCCCCATCATATCTGTTATACTGCTGGTTTGGTAATGTGGTTTTGTAGGATAGAATGTATTTACTGGGGAAACAAATAGTAGATACTGATTTTAATTTTTTCTTAATTATTTTTTCCCAGGCATGCTCACAGCTTTATCAATCAGTATCACAGAGAAACAGCAGATGGATTCGACATACGATCTGTGGTTTTTAAGAAATCATATGTGGTAAGCTTTCATAAAACTGCCTACTATTAATATTACTGCCTAGGTCATTTTGAAACAATTTTGTTTGGCCAACATTGTAAGATATGTGACCTGTATCCTGAGGCTATAATACTTTGAGAGATGGTAACTGTCCAAGAGCCTTCAAGGCTGAACGTGTTATTTCTCAGAATTCTGGAGAACAGCAAGAAGATTTGTCACTACTGAATTACCTTAATTTCAAGCTGTTCTTGAGCAAGGATTTCAGTTTTTTTCTTTATGTTCCACCTAGCAGAGTGCAGTAGTGGCACTGAAAGATTTGCAGAAGTTGCAAACGATGCAGAAGGGGTTCTTATCTTGAAAGAGCCTGGTGTCATAAAAACAAAAATAAAAACGGTCAGACAAGTGTAAGGAGGGCTGTGCTGTTTTTTCCTCTCGTTTCCTTTGTCCTCTGCAATTGTGTCTGCGTATGATGCATCAGAAACCTTATTCAGCTGAGTCCTAGTGCAGATTATAAAAACATATTAGTGAAGATAGCTCATATGTAACACCAGAACTGTTTTCACATTACTCTCCTACGCAAAGAACTTGGCTGTGCTTGGAGGTACTCCAGCTGTATTTCAACAGTAGGCCAAACCGTACTCTGCCTGCACAGAGCCGTTCTGCTTGTTAGAGCCATGCTCATCTGCTCTAATGCTGCTTTCCCTGTAATGTCTTACACTTGTAGTGTACACTTGTTGTGAGGAAAAGGCATCAGGTTAGCCCTCAGGGTTGGCAGGATGAAGGGATACATATTGTCAGAGCTTCTTTTTATTGGTTTTAGTTTCCGTATTTAAGAGAGGTAGCGCTACTGTGTTTCAAAAGGCAGGAGAGGACAGAGCTGTTGCGGTTCCTGCTATAAAACAGCGCGGCTTGTGTATTTACTTCATATGGTTGTGATTTTAACTGTGCTATACGGATAGTTCAGTTAGCTGCAATTCATTTTCGTAGTGCTGCTGTGCCCTGGCATAGAAGAATGGCGTTAAATTCAGAGCTTACAAGAAATTACCAATTTATACAAAGAGACTACTCCTTGAGCTAATGGGACATTGAGATCTAATAGCTTAGCCCAGCAGGCTTTTTGTTATGTTAAATTCAGGACTTCTGTAAAGGATGGGCAGAAAATGGAAGATTTCCGCTTCCAAAACTTCGGGGAGATTAATGCTTACTGAAACCAACCCTGCTTTTCATCAAGTGTTGCTTATGGCAGGCAATTAGCATTAAAATGCTGAAAGCCATCTTTTAGTCCGTTGGAGTCCTCAGTAGTCCTTAGCGAAGCAGGGGAAGAGAACCTCGGTGTATGATTTGTTAACACCTCTCGAAGTTCCTTGTAATAACAAACTGAGGAGGTAACCTCTAACCCGTCCAACCCAACCACTGCAAACGTGGGGGGAGGGAGGGTCTTAAAAATGATATATAACCAGCTCTTTGTCCATGTTATTTACGTGTTCAAAGGAGCTGCATGTGCTTGTAAAAATAAGTAAATAGAACATTTGTATGTTGTTCTACTCCAATGGTGAACAGAAATAGGATATCACAAGTAACCCTGAATGGGAATGCTGTTAGCAGTAGGCATGTAGATGCAGGATGAAACATGTTCATTGAACAGAAAAATGCTTGCTGTATAACTTTTCTCCAACCCGATCTTTGTTGATCACCATTTAATTTCTGTTTATTTTAAATGTAGTCTGTAGTCTCCTGAGGATAGGGTTTGTCTTTCTGTGGCTGGTTTGCATAGAGATTAGCATAGCTGAGGCCTTGTTTCTGTCCCCGAGCCTTTACAAACTGCCAAATGAAAATGAATGAAGTTAATGAAACAAATTGCACAATTTCTTTAGATTAAAATGAGTCTCTGTTCAGCGATTGGCAGAAAGGACAAAAGTAGAAAAGAAGCCATAAATTCAAGGGAGGAAGGAACTCATAAAATTGGAGTGCATAAAATGATGAATGTGAAGGCAGGAAAAATGCAAAGTTATTTGAAGATATATTAACAGACTGAGTGGCAGAATTTGCACTAAGCTTGAATTGAGTGAGTAAATGGATGTGATGAGGTGGTGGTAAAAAGCAGAGGTGGCTCTATCACTGCATCAGTATACACTGGTGGCAGAATTGTGTTTCTAAGCTGGGTCATGGTAAGGATCAGGTCTGGCAGCCTTGTCTATTGAAATGCTTCCACTGCCAGATATTGATGCTGACTTTTTTCTGTCAAGGCCAAAAGGTCTTATTGCACCGAACTAAATATTAATAGGAAATCTCAAAGTGTATGGATAATCACAGTGTGTATGTGCTTCATTTGTGCAGTGGTAACGACGTCATTCTGTGTGCATTGGGTTCAATAAACGTACGCTGCCATGAGAGGTCCAACAGACAATGCAGGCACATCCACAAGGTTGAAATGGAAAATTATATACCACAAGCATGTCAGGGAGCCAGTGAAGCCAAAACTGTTTTTTTGCAGCAGACATAGCTAAATGGTAGCTGAGTATTTCTACCATTACAGGTGAAACAGCCTCAAGAATGGGCTGCACCCTGTAATTGCCTAGCAGCCAGAATTTGTTGTTACTGGTGTCCGAGGTGGCTAGATACACATGCATTCACTGTAGCTGTTGATGCTGCAGTTGATCTATATGTAGACAAATGGAAACCTTAAGTGATTATGTGGACTTACAAGAAGTCTTGATAGAATATCAGGTATTTTTTCCTGGTTTCTGGATTGTTATGTAAGAATTTTAGGTTAGAAGTTTACTATTTGAAGCTCTAACGAGCTTATTCAGGTTCTGTGACTCCACACATCACAGGGATTGTATGTTATCAACCAGCAGCTCCTATCTTTCCTGTCAAGAGCAACACTAAGAAATAATGCACTTTGGAAAATGCAACATTGTTCCACTTGTTGATTGGGATCATAGTGGCAACAGATTCCTGTGGCTGTCATAGTGACAACAATTTCTTGTGACCCTGAGCAAAATCTGAGTCTCATAAAAACCCTCAGTAGGTCATGGTTTAAGAACCACGGTTTTATACTGAATTACTTTAAAATGGATTTAGTAACACAATGTTGGCCAGTCAAGCTCCACAACTGTGACGTTTTCAAGGCTTCTGTATTCAAAAAGAAAATAAATGTGACCAGCGAAAGCTGATGTGCATAAGTAATTCAGAAGAGGATAAGCACGTAATAAAGGTTGGGTCTTGGTTGTGTGCTGCAGACTTGCTGCTTCCATAGCAAGTCAGGAAAGTAGTGCTCTTAAAACAGTTACTTTCTGGAATACCATTTTTGATTGTGGAGGAAAAAAAATGTTTTATGTCCTTACGAGTACTGAGCTCCTATTGCTGGGTTTGTGAATGATCATAAAGGATTTATAAAATCTCACTGTAAGCAGGCATGCCCTGAAAGTCTGCTCTGGAATATGAAAAGTTAACTAGCAGCTAAATTTCTCAGGAACAAGAGAAGAAATCAATGACTGGGGCTCTGCCCGATGTCTGTGTAAAATTGATGTAAATCAATTACCGTAGATTGAGTTGCTTAAAAAATTACAAATATAAGTGAGCCCTTGGGGCCAGGCACTGGCATTAGCTCACTGCTGATGTGCCTCATGCTTGTTTTATAATTTTTAGAAAGTGTGGTCTGAAGCTACTTCCTGCACTGTCATGTAATCCCACTGATGTCAGTCATCTTCTGAAATGAGTGCCTCTGTAGGTACATGAGATATCCACACAGTATCTCCACGCATTGAAATAAAATAAAGCAAATTCAAGGTGCAAAATTGAATCTCATTTTATATTCTTATTTCATATATCATATCTTAGTATCAAATACCTTATGTCCCATCTTACGATGGTGCGTGCATTATAACTGTCTTTAACAAAAAATCATTTTAGTATGAACTAAAAAAAATTAATATGCACCAAAAGCTGGTATGTATGTAGTGTCATGGTTGTTATATTTGAGTGATTAACTTCCTGATTATAGCTTATTCTTAGTACATCAAGTACCAGCTCTTTTCCCACAGAAGCCTGTCAGTATTAAGAGCTGTAGTAGGGAACAAATCAATTCATTTATGGATCAGTTTTTAGTGCCCTGTCGTGATAGAATTTACTGAGACTTGGAGTCTCAGTAAAGCAAGATTAGTCTTAAATGTAACCAAGAAATCAAAGCAGAGTTGACAAATTGTTTGGAATGCATTGTCAGACTTAGCCTTTGCAGTGCTCTGGACATGAGATGTATCGGTGTAGCTACAAGAAGCTGCTGGGCTGGGGTGCTGCACACCAGCAGCCTCGTGCCTGATTTGGGTGTGAAATAACTGCAGTTCCTTCTTGCTGGAGCTGCAAACGTTTCGGTGGGCTGACAGCCCCTCTGACTCCTTCATCAGGCAGAGAAGTGCATCTTTTCTGCTGCATGGGGTAGATTTGATCTGGAATACACTTAAATGGATAACGTGGACTAATTGATAAGGAAAGTTTGTTTTTCAAGAGCGTTTTGGTCAGAGGGTGACAAATTTACATGACCTAAACTAAATGGCTGGTTTATGAGCTCTGTAGTTAATGGGGAGATGAAGCACTCTCAGGAGAGTGATTCAGAAGGGTACACTAAGCTGGTTTGAAATGATCTCAGTGGAACATCTGTCCTTCTGACTCTACAGATATGTTCACTGCTCAATTTAAACATGGGAATTGTGTACCCTCAAAACCCGAGGAAAGGTCTACAAGTGTTAACAAGGCTTTTTTGGGGAAATTAGTGACTAATCTGTTGAGGCATTTAGCTGTGTTTTCTCTCAGTTTGAGCTCTAAGGCCAAATATCTTTGAAAGCTTAAAGGCCTTAGGCTCTTCTATTAATTTTGTGACTAAACCAGTACTTAATGCAATTTCCAACTCTTTATCCATAAATTAACACTTTCATAGAAATTTTTCAAACAGACTTAAGTAGTACAGAACTATTCTTATCACATTTTTCTTATTTTTTTGTGAAAGATTAATTTTCCTGTTT